CAGAGAGTGTTCAGTTCCTCACAGACCAATATGCAGTGGCATTTGGGAGGTCATGGAGTGCCTGAGACCCACCCCAGGCAGAGCAGACCAGCACGGTGCTGCATTCATGCCAGCCCTGCTCTGTCCTGGTGTAGCGGCTCCGGGCCAGGTGAGGCTCCTCACACTACTCAAAGTGACACTGCAGAGCCTGTTTCCAGGCGACTGAATCCTGCCCTGTGCAGCCAGCTGTGAGCCAACTGTCCATTGACGGAGCCACTGGACTTCTAGGCATTGCGATTTAGTGCAATTTGAGATGCCCTAGTGTATCCCACATGGCTGATCCCAGGTCTGTGTCCTATCTGCCAGTTTCCTGCATGCTCACAGGATATTAGGCTTTAAGACAGCCAAAGGGGCACTAGGTCAGCATGTTAAACACCTGAATTGCTCCCCAGTGTTTAGACACCACATTTATTTGTCTGCACCCTCATGCTGAGCTCCACCTCCTTTCATCTGGTCCTGACGGCAAGGAGGTGGCCAAGGGGAGGTGGGGTGGGATGGGACGGGGTGGTGAGGTGACCACAGCCCTGGGCAAGAGGCTGTCCCCACACAAACAGGGGTGACAGCGGGCTCTCCATGTCGGCCATGCTTCCCATGGGCCTGAGTTATGGGGTTTGTCCATCCCACTGTGTTTGGGCAAGGCAGAAGAGCAACAGCCCTTTTTCCCCAGCCAGCTGAGGGCTGGGCCTTCCATCAGCCCTGGATCCCCCTGGTGACGTGGTGGCCATATCACAGCGAGCAGAACGTTAGTGTCACAGGGGGCTGGTGACACGGCCACCCAGGACGGGTATAAAAAGGGCTGCGTGGTGAGCCGGCTTGGACTGGAGGCAAGCGGGTGAGCAAGGGCTGAGGCAAGAGGGCAGGGAGGAGGGCAGGGACGGGAGGGCCGCTGCCCTTCCGAGAGCTGTGCCCGGGCAGGGAGGCAGGGGTTGCCCGTGGCACGAGAGACAGCGGCTGCTCCTTCTCTGTCTTTTAGAACTGAAGGCTCAGACACGGACACAACCAGACCTCAGCCAGAGAGATTTGTTACTTTCTACAAGGACACCGACTTAAAGATAAGGAATAAAAAATGACACCAACTCCTGGCACCAACCCCAATGATGCCACGGGACAGTGGGCAGCAGGCTGGCAGTGGCCCATGTCACCGTGGGGTTGGTGACACAGCCAGCCCGGGATGGGTGTCTCCTGGCTGCCTGGGAGATGTGGGACTGGCAGCCTTGACCTGAGGCTGGGAGAGCCCCAGGCAGGGAGGCAGGGGTTGCCCATGGTGATGGAGGGTGGTTGCTCAGGTTGTTGATATTGCCCTGTCTTTTACAGCCACAGTCTGTACTGCAGCACAGTCTCACAGGCAGCTGGAAGCTTCCCCACAGCCGTGGACAAGGGGAGCTCTGCACCACCCACCCTCTCTGTGTGAAACCTCTCAAAATAAACTTGTTTGATTCATGAACCTATTGGCTGGTTCTTGTTTGTGTGGTCTTTTTGGGTAAACTTGTCCACACATATGCACAGAAATCTCTCTCTATAAATATGTATATTATACAGGAACACTTCATGACATAAAGGAAGTGGGGAGCCAGTCAGAGGGTGCTCTGAGATCATGTGGGTGTGATGGTTTCAAAACATGATAACTGTCTGATCACAGTTGGAAACAGTATGAAACACAGGAGGGTATGACATCATCGACAACAGCCATTACCACGTATGCAGTGGGCAAGGGCTTCCTGTTGTCACATATTGCTGGGAAAGCTGTAAGGGGTGGCTGGTCCTGCCAGCCAGCCACAGGCCAGGATGAAAATATGTGGGCCACCAGACTGTCAGAAATGGCGACAAGGGCCCCCCCCTGCCATAAAATGGCATCTGAAACAACATGGTGGCCCCTGTGCATGTTGTGGGAGGGGACTTCCCACTCCGGGGCCCTTCTAGGGCTGACAGGAAGGGGTGGCTGGTGTCAAGTAATGGCCGTGAGCCAATCACAAAGGATATGAAAACGAGAGGGTCATGTTTTACAAAATGGTGGCTCGGTGCCATTACAAAGAGCCAAGAGTCACGTCCTTCGGCCAGTGGGATGGGGCAGGACGCAGTCTGTGGGCTCCATACGGGCCTTGCCACCGGGTCAGCTGTTGTCAAGGGCATGGGTGGGATGTTCTGCACTGTCACTGGGAGTTTTCACCTGAGGCCATTGAAGGAAAACATCGCCCTGCCTTGTCTGTTTTCTCTTAAAAAACACCTGTGAGCCATGGAACTCCCTATAGAGTCACATAAAGGTCCATATGGCTGCTATTCTGAATTTATTGATTGAAATATTATCATATATGGCATCAAATCCAGGACAGGCTTTTTATTACTAAAGATTTTTTCTAATATTTCATTATATAGATTTTTAAAAAACTCTCATTCTCAGAAAATTATAAAAGTCAATGACGATGATACTGGTACCTTAATAATAACTTAGTAACTTCTGAAAGTCATGGTAGAATCTATGTTTTGCTGAAGTATATAAGCCAATTTTTTATGATTCAGATGTCTCTGGGATAGACTATGCCATGAGAGCTGGCATAGCACTCTTTCGACTCCCATGTAATGGAATCTCATTTGCTGCCCTTCTGTGATTCTTCTTATTATTATTTGAATCAATGAGGTTGCTAATCAGATAATACGATTAAACTAATGTACAGAATTAGAATATTGTCTAGATGAGACTCAAAGCCTTAAACTCACTGCCAATTTAACGTCTGTGCCGTTGTTTCCTCTGCTTCTGCTCTGATTTTTTGAGCCGGACCTCTCCCAGAAATGCCAGTGCATATGAAGGAAGTGCCTAAAAGTCAAGTGTGACATCCTGATGCTATTCAGAAAGTGTTGAAAAAAGATACTGGTTTATCACAGGAAGAGTAATATAAAGACATCTGTCATGACAAATATTAGTCATGTTGCCACACGTACCACTTGGTGCTGAAGTAACACTAGGTCAGGTGCAGCACGGGGCTCAGGGGGTGAGACTGGTCTGGGCTAAATGGACAGCTGCCTTGCCCCAGTCTGTCGCCTGAGGATATGACTGCAAAGGAGAGTTTTGAATTCAACTTGAAAAAAGTCATTCCTCAGTGTCGAAACCTGATTCAAATCCCATACAGTTCAAGGTTAAGATACTGCTCATGAGTGATACTGACCTGTGATGCATAAGGTACCAAAACCACTAAAAATCACACTTTGACTCAACTCAATCACTTTTCAGAAACCACGAAATCAAGTCACTTCATCACGTTATGAATGCTGGGTCACTCTGTTTCAATCCCAGTACGGTCTGTGAAGCTGATGTCTTGTATTTGTGTGGTACCATGCTGGGGTTTCACAGTCCTTGTATGACTTATGAACCTATTTTCCCTTATTCCTGATCAATATTTAACTATCCTTATACTCAATGCCTCAATAGACATGCAGGGCTTAATCACAGCGCACCAAATATTTGATTCAAGCGATAAATTCTAAAGGCTGTTTTTAGTGCAAAACTTTTCATTGGACCACATCTTTTATGACCCAGAGTACTAGAGATGCTCATTTTTGTGGTTTGTGCCAGAGACCCTGAATAGATTGCATTATGTGTCTGTTAAAAGTACCGGTAAACCAGCACAGAATGGACGGAGAAGTCATTAGAGGTGAGACTCACCTCAATCGCATTTAGATACGTACCATGCAAGTTTCTCACCTTCTGAAGTCGGTTTCCTTTTTAGTCAGCGGAGAGTGACATTGTGGTGGGGTCTGCTGTAAGCCACCTCAGCAGTAAGAACGAGTGGATGAGGCCTCCTACGAACAGCTCGAAGTAGCCCCATGTTCGCCAGCCCCGGTCCTCATGCGGGACTTCAACCACCCCAGTGTCTGCTGGAGGATCTACACAGCAGGGCTGCTTCTGGAGAAACGAACCACAGCTGCTACCTGGAGCTAGGCATGCTGGAGATCCCAAAGCCCTACAAGGGGCAGTGCCAGTTGCTCCAAAGTGACTGAAGGAGTCCGGGCTGCAGCAATCCCCTCCTCGGCTGCAGTTACATAGCCAGAGTTGTGCTATTTTCAGCCAGAAATCACCATGTTTTTTCTCATCAGCCTTGGACCTTGGCTCCTACCGGGCCAAACCCATCCTGGCTCTGTCTCAACCTCGTGCCCTGGCCCAGGGGGTCCCACCCGAGAGGCCCAGCGGGTCCCAGCCGAGGGGCCCAGCAGGCCTTAGGAGCGCCCAGCTGCTCTCCGTGCCACGGATGCTCGCCTCCTGACGGAGCAGAGGAGGGGACGAGGCGCCCGCAGCCCGCCGAGGGGCCCAGGCACCCCCCAGGCCCGCAGGCAGAGCCGTGCGGGTCACCCCGGGGGGCTGCCGCGACCGGGCCCCGGGGCAGGACGGCGGCTGGTGGCGGACCAAGCCCGTCCGTGCCTGCGGGGCTCTCCCCGGTGGCCGGGGCAGCGGGGCAGGACGGCGGGGCCGTGCCGAGTGCG